TACACTAAACACTTATACATTGGGAGGTAATAGCTTCAACTCGATTTTACAGTGAAATCTGCAGGAATTTCAAACCGACAGTTGAAAACAGACTGAGAAAATTGAGTAACAGTTTCTCCTTCAACCCGGTCCTTTTGTGCAAGATGAATAAAAGTCTCTCCACATGTTAATTTCTGAGAGATATTTCTGTGTGAAAGACGCCTTCACCTAAAAAGTTTGGAAAATAAAGGTACTTTTCATTAGGAAAGTACAATATGTACATATATATGGGGTGGTACTAGCTCCATCTCAGTTTTACAATGAACAATGCAGGGAATTGAAACCGGCAGTAGGAATCAAAATAAGATATCAGAGTAGGTGTACCACTTGGAAAAATTTCTCATGGTTCTAGATTAACGAAATTCTCTCCACATGCACAGTTTTCAGAGATAAGTTTCTGTGAAATTGTTGCTTCACCTAGCTTGCGGGCAACATAGAGTCTCTTTTCAGATGGAAAGTACACTACGTGCATAAATTTGGGGAGGTACAAACACCAACTCGGCTTACAGTGAGAATGCAGGTAATTAAAACTGGCAAAAGGAAGCAGACTGAGAAAACAGAGTAAGTGTTTTACTGCAACCCGCTTCACATGTGCTGGATGAATGAACCCTCACTACATTGTCAGTTCTCGGAGATAAGTGTGTGTGAATGCCATATTTCACCTAGATTCTTGGGAACACAAGGCTTCTTTTCAGTAGGAAAATTCTCAACATACATATATATGGGTAGGTACTTGCTCCAACTCAGATTTACAGTGCAAACTGCAGGAAATTCTAACCGGCAGTAGGAAACAAGCTGAGAAAACTGAGTAAGTGTTTCTACTGCAACCCGTTCCCTATGTGCAAGATGAAAGAAAGTCTGTCTACCTTCTTACTTCTGGGAGAAAATAGTGTGTGAAAGACGTACTTCAGCTAGCATGTTGGGAACACGAAGTTTCTTTTCACTAGGAAATTAAAATACGTACATATATATCGGGTGTTACTAGCTCCAACTCAGTTTTACAGTGAAAACTGCAGGATTTCCTACCAGCACTATTAAACAGACTGACAAACACAGTAATTGTTTCTCCGACAAACCATTCCATTTGTGCTCGATTAACGAACGTGTCTCCACATGCTTAGTTCTGAGAGATAAGTTTTTGTGGAATCTGTCCATCAACAAGCAGGTAAGGAACAAAAAGATTCTTTTCATTTGGAAAAAACAATATG